TATCAGGCACCTGCACTCACTGAAAAGACCATCAAGAGAATGGGTTCAAAAAGGAATGCCCCACAAATGTTACTGTGGCAAAACTGGAAGAAGAGTCTACAATGCTACCCAGCATGCTGTTGACCTTGTTGTAAACAAACAAGGGTAAGCTTCTTACCAAGAGAATTAAAAAAGAAAAAAAAAAAAAAGTGTCTTGCTTCCATGACTACCAACCAACATACCTACAGCAAATACAAATCCTGTAGGGCTATTCGACTGAGAACCTCCTTACTGACAAACAGCTCAGTCAACTATAGACTCTGCTGCTATTTATTACAATTTATTTCATCTCTAAATACAGGTATGGTCCATGTAGTATTAAAATACTAAATGTATATTGCTATGACATAACTGCAGGTGAATCCTTCATTTGAAATATTGTAGAAATCTGTGGAAGCTAAAACTTAAAAGCAGAACTTGGGGCCAGCAGGTAGTATGTTGGCTAAAGGGCAGGAATCCAATATGGCCAACTGCAGTTCCACTCCTGGACTCCACGGCTCGAAACATTCACTAGACAGTTGTGTTCACATGCGCAAAATCCTGGGAAAAGAATGGAGCAAACACACAGATGTGCGTGCCCAAGATCCCGAGAGGAGAATGGATTGTGGTGTGGCCATCCCCCTGAGGGGTGAGTTCTCGCTTTCTGTCTCTCTCTTTCTGTCTTTCTGACAAGCATGCGTGCCCTATAGCAAAGACTCTCAAAAAAAAAAAAAAAAAAAAGAGAGAGAGAGAGAGAGAGATAAGTAAAAACTTTCCCACGCTCTATATAGCCACGGGATTTTTCACTGAGTTGTTATACTTCAAAAAGAACTGGAATGAAAAAAAAAAAAAAAAGAACTGGAATGAGAGAAGCCTTTCTCACATTTCTTACACTCACAGTTTCTCTCCTGTGTGACTTCTTCCATTTGCTTGAAAGCTCATAAATACAGAAGACGTTTTTTGCACATTGCTTACATTCTAAAGGTTTCTCTACTGTGAGAGGTTTTTCATGTTTTTGAAAATTACTTCACAGAGAAGGCTTTTCCACAGTTTCTACACTGCTAGGGCTCCTCTCCACTGTGAATTTTGTCATGTCTTGACTGTGACCTGGGCAAGAGGTTTTCCCACACTGCTTGTGTTCATAGGGTTTCTTTCTTTTCTTTTCCTTTTTTTTTTTTTTTAAAAATTTGATGAAAAGCAATTTATTTTTTGCTTTGATTGTATATGCTTTTGGTGTCAGACCTAAAAATACCATTGTCTATTCAAGGACATGCAGATATTCACCTTTGTTTCTTTCTGCAAGTTTTTTTTTTTTGTAGTTTAAGGTTTTATTTATTTTTTAATTTTTACATTACATTTAACCACATATGTATTTACAGTGTATTACATTCCTTTTTTTTTTTTAAAGGAAAGTGACAAATGAATTGTTCATCTTTTTTTTAAATTCATTGTCATTATTTTATTTATTTATTTGAATTTGACCAGAGAGAGAGAGAGAAGGAAAGTGAGATAGCAAGCTGCCAGGTCCAGGACTGAAGCTGTGGTCACCCATGTGGGAGTCCAGCTGCCTTAACCACCACACCACCTGCCGGCCCCAGTGTATTAAATTTCTTTTTCCACCATGATTACCATGCATATTAGTCGAGACAAAAACATTACTACCCACATCATCATCAAATAGCTTTTCATAATTTTCCTTCAGATTATTATTATTTATTCTCGTTACTTTTTAAACATTCAATCACCATATATCATTTGGCTTATAAAGAGAATTTACCTAATATGTTCATAGGATTTCTATCCACTGAGAGTCCTTTCATGATTTCAAAAGAACATAGAATGAGCAAAGACTTTACAACATTGCTTACATTGGTAGCATTTATCGCCTGTGTGTGTGTGTGTTTTTTTTTTTTTTTGGAGAGATTTTTGCTATAGGGCGCCTGTGCTCGCCAGACAGACAGAGAGAGACATAGAGACAGAAAGCGAGAAATCACCCCCCTGGGGGGGATGGTCACGCTACAATCCCTTCTCCTCCATTCTCCTCTCGGGATCTTGGGCACGCACGCACACTTGCCCGGCGTGAGTTCTAAGCCACCGGGTTCAGGACGTGAACCGCAGTCGACTACGTGGGAGTCCAGCGACACAGCCAGCACGCTAACTGCTGGTTCCCTCGCCTGTGTTTTTTCATGTCATTGTAATAACAAAGACCGAGAGAATTTCCCACACTGCTTATATTCATAGTGTTCTCTATGTGAGTTTTTCCATGGATTCCTAATGACTTAGAACAAGAGAAGACTTCCCCAACGCCTTACATTCACTGGGTTTTTCTCCTGTGTGTTCTTTCATGCATTTGACAGGAATAGGGCACAGAAAAGGCTTTCCCACATTCCTTACATTTGAAGGGTTTCTCTCCAGTGTGAATTCTTTCATGTTTTCGAAGAGTACAAGTACGATTAAAGGCTCTCCCACATTCCTTACATTCATAGGGTTTCTCACCTTTGTGAATTTTTAGATGGATGCGAAGGGAAGAATGATAACTAAAGGTTTTTTCACATGCCTTACATTCATAGGGTTTATCTCCTGTGTGAGCTGTGTCATGAGCACGAAAAGAACCATTAGAAGTAAATGTTTTTCCACATTTCTTACATTCATAAGGTTTCTCTCCTGTGTGACTTCTTTCATGAACATATAAGGAAGTTTGATACTTAAAGGCTTTCCCACATTCCTTACATTTATATGGTGTCACTCCAGTGTGAATTCTTTGATGTGTTCGACAATTACTGGGACTAGTAAAGGTTTTCTCACATTTCTTACATTTATATGGCCTCTTTTCAATGTGAGTTCTTCTATGGATATAAAAGGTACTGCGTAAACTAAAGGTTTTCCCACATTCCTTACATTCATAGGGTTTCTCTCCTGTGTGACTTCTTTCATGAGCACGCAAGTAACTGCTATACGTAAAAGTTTTCCCACATTCCTTACATTCATAGGGTTTCACTCCGGTGTGAAGTATTTCATGTCTTCGAACAGAACTGGGACAACTAAAGACTTTCTCACACTGGGGACACTTAAAGGATTTTTTTTCAGTGTGAATTTTTTCATGTTTTCGAACATAACTGAGACGACCAAAGCCTTTCCCACATACCTTACACGTATAAGGTTTTTCGTCAGTGTCAGTTCTTTCATGGTTTTGAATAGAACTGGGAGAAACAAAGTCTTTCCCAGATTGGGGATGCTCATAGGCTTTCTTTCCAGTGTGAGTTTTCTCATGTATTTGAAATAAATTGTGACAATTAAAAGTTTTCCAACATGACTTGCATTCATAAGGTCCAACTCTACGTTGTGATCTCATGCCTCTTCTCACAGTTTTATTGTAAAATGAGGTTTTTCCATTTTGCTTAACTTCATGTGGCTTCTTTGTAAATTCCTTAGAGTCATATGGTTTCTGTCCTCTATAAGTTTTGACACGCCTACTAAGAGATGAATGAACCAAGTCTTCCCCACATGCACTGCTTTCATATAGTTTATGTATCAGAGGCATTAGCTCATGCAGATGGTTTTCTGTATGACTGATGGTATCTTCACATGGACTTCCTTCTTTTCTTTCATACAATCTCTGCAGTACATAATGTCTATAAAGAATGAAAAGCACGTTACTAGAGATTTTAGGATTACTAGTCTATTACATAATAAGTAGTAAACAGGGCCTGCAGGCAGCACAGAGGTAAAGGGGCAGATACTACATGGCCAGCTGCACTGTTTGAGTTCTACTTCAGGAGGCTTAAAAATCATGCTAAGTTCATGTGTAGAGTGTGGCCAGTCTGAGCAAACATGGTGACCTTTAGACACATGCAGAAAAGTAGTTCCACTGGCAGTCATTTGCAAGGCAATGAATTCCATTCACAAGTGAATACGTTGGCTGCCTTTGTTTGAAACTGCAAGTGGTATGGTGGTTAAGACGCTGGACACTCACTCCCACATGGCTGACTATGGTTTGAGTCCCAGATCTGGTGGCTTGCTTTCTCACTTTCCTTCTCTCTGTGTGTCTGTCTTTTTCTGGTCAAATGAAAATGAGTGAATGAATACATAAAACCTAATAAATATTTCTTAAAAAAAAAAAAGGAAGACACATGTTAATCAGAACAAGCCCAATAAGGTTAGAGAAAACACATAGAATACATGGCACTAGATATCTTCACATCATCATTTGATTAACATCTGAAAATAACTGGCTTTGTATTCCATTTCCCTTTTCCCCATTTCCTGCCCTTTAAAAGAATAAACCTGGGAACAGTTCAGATCCATGTCTGTCTCCATTAGAGAAGCTGAGACCATCCAATCCCACCTTTTCTCTACTTGTCTTTGTGTGTTTATTTCTATGTTTATTCTCTAATCCACTGTTTCCCTACTCAGAGCACACATTCATTTGGCTGTGCAGGACACAAGCACTCATGTGAGCTTGTTCCAAAAAATACTGAGAGGAGACTGGAAAAGCCAAGTATGCATGGTAGAAACCCCCTTAGGAAATGTTTTCTCACTGTCCCTCTCTCCCACTTCTCTCTGGCAAGTGCACATGGTATAAAACAAAAAAAAAAACAGGTGTGTGAACTGCGTGAAGGGATGTAAAGGCAGTTAGTGAGACCAACTGAAGCAGAAAACTACCTTGGACCATCTACTGGCTCTCAATTGCACTGGGTAAATCCTGGACTGGCTCCTCCCACATCCCCTCATCCTCATTGCCTCAGGAACCCCCCACCACGGAATGGGGATTAGTGGCAGTCAGTGACACCAACTGAGGCAGAAGACCACCTCAGATCTTTAGCTGTCTAATGCCCACTCAGAAATATTTTGAGACTTCATAGCTTTCTGAACTGTACAGCAATTCCCCGGTTGAAACTCTCCAACCCAGCCACAGGGGCACCTGGTCCCAAGAGACTGGGAAAAAAATCAACACCTAATACTGGCTATATACACATTTCTTTCTTTTTTTTTTTTTTTTTTAAGAGGTTTTTGCTATAGGGCGCGTGCGCTCGCCAGACAGACAGAGAGAGACAGAGAGACAGAAAGCGAGAAATCACCCCCCCAGGGGGAATGGCCACGCCGCAATCCCTTCTCCTCCATTCTTCTCTTGGGCATGCACGCACACGCATCCGGTGTGAGTTTTAAGCCACCAGATCCGGGACGCAAACCGCGGTCAACAACGTGGGAGTCCAGCGACATAGCCATTACGCTAACTGCTGGTCCCCTGGCTATATATGCATTTCTATGACTAGAAGACAAGGCCCTCTACCAAGAACACATCTGAGAGGTAGAGCTTTTCTTCCCCCCTCACATTACAGAGTCAACATAAGAAAAGAGGGAGAAGTATGTAATCCATAGCATGACTAGGAATCATCATGGAGGCACAAAAAGCATGGGAAAACAAGGAAACACTTTTCTCAATAAAACACAGCGATTCTTCTTCAACCATAGACAGCACAGAAGAATCTACAGGAATGTCAGAAATAAAATTCAGAATATTAATGGTGACAAAGATGAGAAAGTCTTCCCAGGATTTGAAGGAGGAGATAGGCATCATAAAGAAGGCCCAATCAACTTCTAGAGAAGCCATTAATTCAGGAAATCAAGAACTGGCACAAAAACGTTAATAGCAGACTTGACCATGCAGAAGAGATGGAATACAAAACCTTTGACTTAGATAAAACTACCAAAAAAATTTTTTTTGGAGAGGTTTTTGCTATGGGACATGTGCATTCGCCAGAAAAGACAGAAAGTGAGAAATCACCCTCCAGGGGGATGGCCATGGCACAATCCCTTCTCCTCCATTCTCCTCTCGGGATCTTGGGCATGCATCCACACAGGTCCGGTGTGAGTACAAGCCACCGGGACTGGGACTCAAACTGTGGTCGACTACATGGGAATCTAGCTACATAGCCATTATGCCAACTGCTGGTTCCCCAAAAATCATTTTAAAAATAATATTAAGGGAACCAGTAGTTAGCGTAATGGCTATGTCGCTGAACTCTCATGTAGTCGACTGCAGTTCGCGTCCCGGACCTGGTGGCTTAAAACTCACACCAGGCGCGTGTGTGTGCGAGCCCAAGATCCCGAGAGGAGAATGGAGGAGAAGGGATTGTGGCGTGGTCCATCCCCCCTGGGGGGTGATTTCTCGCTTTCTGTCTCTCTGCCTCTCTTTGTCTGTCTGGCGAGTGTACGCGCCCTATAGCAAAAACCTCTCCAAAAAAAGAAAAAAAGAAAAATATGGAGGTTTCTCAAAGTCCTATAAATAGAACTACCATATGATGGAGGAATTCCAGTCCTGGTTATCTACCCAAAGGACAAGAGTGTACCCAGTCTAAAAAGAGCTTGCTCATGCATGTTTACTGAGGCATTATTCACAAGTGCGAAGACATGAAACCAACCCAAATGTCCAGGAACAGGTGAAGGGATTGAAAAACCTGTGGCACATATATATTATGCAATACTACTCAGTCATAAAAAACAATAAGATCCTGACATCTGATAGAAAGTGGACAAATATGGAGGATTAACCATGAAGCACAGTATGCCAGACTATAAGACATTGTATTTCCCCACTTAATATACACTGAATATTGGCACTCTATGGCAGAAACTAAAAGATTAGAAGATTAGGACCAGCAGTTGCCATAATGACTATGATGCTGGGCTCCCATGTAGTTGACTGCGGTTCAAGTCCTGGACCCGGTGGCTTAAACTCACGCCAGGCGCAAGTGCGTGCGTACCCAAGATCCTGAGAGGAGAAGGGAGGAGTAGGGATTGTGGCATGACCATCCCCCCGGGGGGGTGATTTCTCACTTTCTGTCTCTCTGTCTCTCTCCTTCTGGTGAGCGCACACGTCCTATAGCAAAAACCTCTCAAAAAAAAAAAAAAGATTGGAAGATATAAAAGCATGGAGAAAAACTGTTAGACACTAGAGAAAGTGGGAAGAGGGTAGAAAATGGGGGAGAGCAAAAGGAAGGGAATCAAGGAGAAGCAGCAGCAAAACATTTAAGGAACAGAAAAATGGAAAATTATCTGTTGCTGATAACATGCATGATATCTTTAACTGGACCAATATGTAGTACAATCATGCTGGGAAAATTTACTTCTTTTTTTTTATTTTTTTAAAGATTTATTTATTTATTTTTATTCATTCTTTTTTTTTTTTTTTCATTTATTTATTTTAATTTGACCAGAGAGAAACAGAGAGAGAGAGAATGTGAGAAAGGAAGCTACCAGGTCTGGGACTCAAAGCACAGTCAGCCATGTGAGAGTGTCCAGTGCCTTAGCCACCATGCCACCTGCTGGTCCCAGGGAAAATGTATTTCACAAGCTGGGATGATATACACTGATTGAATGTATAAAATGAAACACAAACAAAAGGACTAAACATCTCTTGTGCCTTTGTCTGGCAACATGAAGAGTTTAAACAATTATTTGAACAAGTATTTTATGTGTATTCTACAAGGGGTCCCAACCACTTTTACTATAGAGCACCTGTAGACAGAGACAGGGAAAGGGAAAAGTGAGAAATGAACCCCTGATGGATGGTCAGCCTTATACTACACTCTCCTTGTAGGATTTTTCACAATGTATGAAAACACACCAGATCTAGGACTGAAACAACTCAACCATGCAGGACCCAGTCACCTTAATCCTTTAATCCTTTTTCCAAGTAAACGGATTAGCAAACCCTGAATGTGTATGACACATTCAAGTAGATATTTTTGGAGAAAGACCTGTAGGAAGGAATAAATAAGCTTGAAGCAAGGTTTCCTTTAGTTTGTTAAAATTTCATGACAGGCTTTCAATGAATATTGCTTTCTCTTGTGAGTGCAAATTACCTTGGATTTTTCCAGATATTGTGATATAGATCTTTAATCTTCTGGTCTTCCAAGTTTCTCCCTAAAATATACATCCAGAAACATGTATTAATTACAAAAGTATTTTATTTTTTTAAAGATTTATTTTATTTATTTAATTCCATTTGTTATTTTTATTTCATTTTGTTGGAAAGAATTATTTTATTTGAGGGCCAGCAGGTGTCATGGTGGTTAAGGGCACTGGACTCCCACATGGCTGATTAGGGATCGAGTCCTAGACCTGGCAGCTTGCTTTCTAACTTTTCCTCTCTCTCTCTCTCTACCCCTCTCTGGTCAAATATAAAAATAACAAAATAAATAATTATTTTTTTTAAAAAAGAATTATTTTATTTAATCTTATTTATTTCCAGGACTCGAACCGCAGTCTGCCATGTGGGAGTCCAGCGCCCTTAACCACCATGTCACCTGCTGGTCCGTATTATTTTTATTTTTTAATCTGACCAGACAGAGAGAGAGAAAGGGAAAGTGAGAAAGCAAGCTGCAAGATCTGGGACTCAAACTGCGGTTGGCCATGTGGGAATCCAGCACCTTTAACTACCACATCACCTGCTGGCCCATATAAAAGTATTTAAAAAAACAAAAACAAAAACACTAGATTCCAGGGTCAAAAGTCATTGTGGGGGACCAGCAAATCGCATGGCGGTTAAGGTGCTGGACACTCCCACATGGCCAACCACAGTTCGAGACCCGGATCTGGTGGCTTCCTTTCTCACTTTCTCGCTCTCTTTCTCTGTGTCTCTCTCTGGTCAAATTAAAATAAATGAATGAATAAATCAAATTAAATAAATAATTCTTTAATTAAAAAAAAGGAATTGTGACCCTGTCTGATTTGTTCACAAAAGTACTCCCCTTTCCTTGTTAAAAATTTTGGGAAAAAATTGATTAGGAAACACTAGTTCTTCTTCTTTTTGTTAAATATTTTTCAAAATATTTATTTATTTATTTAATTCTATTTATTATGATTATTTTTTAAATTTTTACCAGAGATAGACAGAGAAAGAGAGAGAGAAAGAGAAAGCAAGAAAGGAAGCTGCCAGGTCCAGGACTTGAACTGTGGTCGGCCATGTGGGAATCCAGCACCTTTAACCACCACTCCATTTGCTGGCCCCTAAATCATTTTATTTTAACTATATTTATTTATTTGACTAGAGAGGGACAGAATGAGAGAGAGAAGGAAAGTGAAAAAAGCAAGCCCTCAGGTCCGGGACTCAAACCGCGGTTGACCATGTGGGAGTCCAGTGCCCTACACCACCAAGCCACCTGTCGGCCAGAAACACTTGTTCTTTAATTAAGTAAGTGAAGGAAAGCTGTCATCCTTACCAATACAGTCTAGGTTCTTGATGGTTTCCAACATCACATCTCTGTAGAGTTTCTTCTCTGAAGGCTCCAGCAAAGCCCACTCTTCCTTGGTGAAGTTCACAGCCACATCCTTGAAGGCCACTGAGTCCTGCAACATCCCACATGTGTGTGAAGGAAGAAGGCTGAGTCTGATAGGATAGGAATCTACACTCAATTCAGAAGAGGGTCACAGGATACTATGGACTCCAAACATTCATTCTATAATTTGGTCATCAGAATTTGTCAACTCTGGGAACCAGCAGTTAGCGTAATGGCTGTGTCGCTGGACTCCCACGTAGTCGACCGCAGTTCGAGTCCCGGACCCGGTAGCTTAAACTCATACCGGGCGCGTGTGCGTGCGTGCCCAAGATCCTGAGAGGAAAATGGAGGAGAAGAGATTGTGACATGGCCATCCCCCATGGAGGGTGATTTCTCGCTTTCTATCTCTCTGTCTCTCTGTATCTGTCTGGCGAGTGCATGTGCCCTATAGCAAAAACATCTCAAAAAAAAAAAAAAAAGGATTTGTCAACTCTGTGTACAATCATTTTCTCCCTCATAGAAATTATAATGCTAAAACTTGGGCCAGCAGATAGTCTGGTGGTTAATGTGGTACATTCCACATGGCCAAATGTGGTTCAAGGCCTGAAACAAGTGGCTTCAAAAACATGCAAGGCATGGGAACCAGCAGTTAGCGTAATGGCTATGTCGCTGGACTCCCACGTGGTCGACCGCGGTTCGTGTCCCAGACCCGGTGGCTTAAAACTCACGCCGGGCGCGTGTGCGTGTGTGCCCAAGATCCCGAGAGGAGAATGGAGGAGAAGGGATTGTGGCGTGACCATCCCCCCTGGGGGGCGATTTCTCGCTTTCTGTCTCTATGTCTCTCTCTGTCTGTCTGGCGAGCGCACGCATCCTACAGTGAAAATCTCTCCAAAAATAAAAAAATTTTAAAAATTTTAAAAAATAAAACATGCAAGGCATGTGTGTGTGTTTGTACCCAAAATCCCACGAGAAGACTGGAGATGGGATTGAAGCATGGCCACACCCTGAAGAATGGTTTCTCATGCTCCCTCTCTCCTGTCTCTATCTCTAACAAATACACATCTACTGTGATAAAAATCTAAAGAAAGGAGCCAGCAGATGGTATAGTGGTTAAAGTGCTGGACTCCCACATGGCTGACTGTAGTTCCAGTCCGGACCTGGTGGCTGGAAACTCATGCCAGGAATGTATGCATGTGTGTTCAGAGTCTCAGGGGAGGATGGAGGAGAAGGGATTGTGGTGTGGCCAACCCCCTGCGAGGTGATTTCTCCCTTCCTCTCTTGGTCTCTTTGGCGATCATGTTCGCTCTCTAGCAAAAAAAAAAAAAAAAAAAAAAATCTATTAACAAAATCTAAACAATAAAAATAACAGTAAAACTGACCAGCAGTTGGTGTAATGGCTATGTCGCTGGACTCCCACATAGTTGACCATGGTTTGAGTCCTGGCCCCAGTGGCTTAAACTCATGCCAGGCATATGAGCATGTGTGCCCAAGATCCTCAGAGGAGAATGGAGAAGGGACTATGGCGTGGCCATTCCTCCTGGGGGGTGATTTCTGTCTCTTCTCTCTCTGGTCTCTTTCTGTCTCTCTGTCTCTGTCTTTCTGGCAAGCTCACACGCCCTACAGCAAAAACCTCTAAAAGAAAACCTTCCTTGAAAGTATTAAAAGCAGATTAGATCATACAGAAGACCAAATCTCTTATATAGAAGAACCTCTGTCCTAGAAAAATTCACCAAAAAAAACCCAGAAAATAACCAAAAAAAAAAAAAATCAATGAGAGCTGGGACCGGCAGGTGGTGTGGTGGTTAAGGGGCTGGACATTCCCACATGGCCAACCACGGTTTGAGTCCCGGACCTGGTGGCTTGCTTTCTCACTTTCTCATCAAATTAAAATACATGAATGAATAAATAAAATTAAATAAGTGATTTTAAAAAATTAGAAATGACATAAGAGACCCACAGTACTCCCATATTAGCTTACTTTCTGTGTTATTTGAAAGTGAATTTAGGCCTGCCAGGCAAGGTGTAGGCAGTAGGGGCACTCCTGGGAAATGCTCTTGCCATATGGTAAGGACCAAACTGTACCCCAAGGTATTTCTGAAAAAGCAAGTGATCCTAACTGCCTGCAGGGATGGGGTGGGGAGGAGCTTCGGACCCTCTTCTTCTTCTTTTTTTTTTTTTTGAGAGGTTTTCACTATAGGGCGCGTGCGCTCGCCAGACAGACAGAGAGACATAGAGACAGAAAGCGAGAAATCACTCCCCAGGGGGGATGGTCATGCCGCAATCCCTTCTCCTCCATTCTCCTCTCAGGATCTTGAGCACGCATGCACACGCGCCCGGCGTGAGTTTTAAGTCCGGGATGGTCGACTACGTGGGAATCCAGTGACACAGCCATTACGCTAACTGCTGATTCCCCAGACCCTCTTCTTGATGTCTATATTTCTGTCTCTCCCTGGAAATAAAGAAATAAGCTTAAGAAAAATCAGCAAAGGCCCAACTGGTGGCATGGTGGTTAGAGGCACCAGATTCCCACATACCCGACCACAGTTTGAGTCCTGGACCTGGCAGCTCGCTTTCTCACTTTCCCTCTCTCTTACTCTGTCCCTCTCTAGTCAAATTAAAATAAAGTTAAAAACAATTTTTTTAAAAAAAGAAAGAAAAAACAGTACATTTAAGTTAATTATACATACACCTTCCGAATTCTTAAAAAAAAAAATTAGGTTATTTTTGGCTTGGAGTACATTCCAGCAGGAGAGAAGACAAAGAGAAAGTGAGAAACCATCCCCTGGGGAAGACCGCCAAGCAGTAATCCTCTCTCTACCCCGAAGATGCAGATGCCCACTGGGATAGGGTTGTGAGACCCTACTTCCCACGCTTTTGGAAAACTAAGGCAAAAAAGGGTGATCTGTTGATATGGAGCAACCCCAAATTTATAAGCAACCTAAGGCTGTTAACTGCCTGAACCTGTCCCTCCCCTGAACTATTGAGCAACCCGAGGCTTTGAGCAAGTTAGACTCCCTGCTTCCCTGCCAGCTCCAAATTAGCGCAGACACGGAGCCCTTTCCCCTGCAAGGGCATTCCTAGCAAGCTGAGGCCTCCCCTCCCCAATTCGCCCCTAGCCGGGCTGCAGAGTGTTAACCCCCCTCCGTGCCCGCCTCGTAATAAAGAGTTCTCCTGTCTCTCCCTGTGCCGTTTTCGGATTCTCGGTTTCTGATATTCTGCAACACTGTGCGGAGAAAAAGGAACTGGCTCGCGGATCACAACTCCTCCCTGCGCGACCCCCCAAAACCGAGTTGGGATCTCCTGAAGACTTTCCAGTCCCCGAAGTAACCTAGGAAAACGCGGGGTTGTCTAAAGGCGCAGATCTTCCTGCAGTAACAGGACCCGAAGCCTGGGGGTCCCGCTGCCATCCCTGCCCCTACTCCGGGCCAGAGGGGACCGTGCAGAACCCCCAGGGGGAGGACTCAGGCTGCAAACTCCAGAGTGGACCGGGAAGCCAGGGTCAGCAACAGCCAGTTCTGGCCGGTTTCCATCGCCCCCTGCACCTGTTTCAGGTCCCCAGCCCTGCACACTCACCATGTCTCAGCGTCCAGGGTGTCCCCGCGTCCTTGCTACGGTTCCCTTTCTCTCCGTGCACAACAAAGAGGGACCGAGGAGCCGCAGACACTACAAACTCCAGTGGATCAAAAGAACTCTGCAGGTCCCGCAGCGCCGCTTTCAGACAGGAAGACCTCGCGAGAGTTGGACACCGCCCCCTACTCCCTGAACTGTTGCAGAAACAATCCAGGAGCAGCCAATTGCCACTCCAGAGTCTGGAGAGTTCAAGTTTCTTACATGGCGGACTCCGTGGAGTTCAGTCTCCAAATCCGAGGTCCCGAGCAAGCGCGCTTCTCAGGGTTTGTGCAGCGGGGAGGGGGTTTCGCGTAAGTGAGAGTCCGGTTTTGAGCTAATTTGGGCTAGTCTTGTTATCTGCAGCCCTTGAGCTCAGTCCCTAACAGTCTGGAAGATCATTTCCTGGAGCAGGGTGACTCACTTTCCCGGGGCATTGCAAGCTGTTAATGAAGCTGTGCAGTGTTGGGTAAGATGCTTATGCTAATTCAAACAAAAATAAGATTCCCGGTCTTGCAGGCAGATTACAGATGCAGAACAGAATCCGTATCAATTACCCTGCGGACCCAGAGGAGTTGGGGCGCTGAGGTCTACACCCGGTACTGGAAAGTGACAGGGATTATGTACTTGGAGCTTGGGGTTACAATGAGGGAGAGGAGCTATGTTGAGTTATTTGGGGGCTAAGAACGGTTAGAAGCCAGGTACTTGGGACACAACCCCCTCCCCGGCCAAGTTCTCGGTATTTTTCCTAAGTTTTTACACTTTCCGCTCCATTGAAGCAAACCACAGCTTCTGCAGCAACTGCTCACAACGGTTACTGGTATGGAAACGTGAAATGAAATTTTTAAAATTAAAAAAAAAAATTGGAACCAGCAGTTAGCGTAACGGCTATGTCACTGGACTCCCATGTAGTGGGCCGCGGTTCCTGGTGGCTTAAAACTCACGCTGGGCGCGTTTGTGTGCGTGCCCAAGATCCCGAGAGGAGAATGGAGGAGAAGGGATTGCAGCGTGGCCATCCCCCCCGGGGGGTGATTTCTGCTTTCTGTCTCTCTGACTCTCTCTGTCTGGCGAGCGCACATGCCCTATAGCAAAAACCTCTCCCCCCCCCAAAAAAAAAAGGATGGGGGAAAAAATAACCAAACATTTTATTTGGATCAGGGATATGATAATAAACTGGACAACAGAAAATCCAAATGGCCTCCAATTATGAGTCCCAATGTGTCATAGACTGCTGGATGGTTGTTTTTCTTTTTTTTGTGTGTGGAGAGGTTTTTGCTATAGGGCACGTGCTTTCGCCAGAAAGACAGAGACAGAGAGATAGAAAGCAAGAAATCACTCCCCCATAGGGGATGGCCACGCCGCAATCCCTTCTCCTCCATTCTCCTCTTGGGATCTTGGGCACGTACGCACACGCGCCTGGCGTGAGTTTAAGCCACCGGATCGGGGACTCGAACCGCAGCGTGGCCATCCCCCCTGGGGAGTGATTTCTCACTTTCTGTCTTTCTGTCTCTCCGTCTCTCTCTGTCTTTCTGGTGAGTGCACATGGCCTATTGCAAAAAAACTAAAAAAAAACCAAACCAAAACAAAACAAAAAACACATAGCCCTGTTAAGTTTCCAAAAGGAGAACCTCACCCCAAAGACAGTCCAATAAGAAAAAGAAAATCGAGGGGCCAGTAGGTGGCATAGTGGTTAAAGGCATTGGACTCCCATATGGCCCACCATGGTTTGAGTCCTGGCCCTAGTGGCTAGCTTTCTCACTCTCCTTTTCTCTCTTTCTGTGTCAATCTCTGGTCAAATTAGAAACGAATAATAATGATGATAATAAACTAAACGAAATACAATTTTTATAAAAAGAACACTGAGTGCTCATTTGCTGTTCAACTATTTGAGTGGATAATATGTAAATTTTTTGAGAGGTTTTTGCTATTGAGCTAGTGTGCTCGCCAGAAAGAAAGAGACAGAAAGCAAGAAATCACCCCTCAAGGGGGATGGCCATGCCACAATCCCTTCCCCATTCTCTTCCTGGGACCTTGGGCACCCATGCACACACGCCCAGCATGAGTTTATGCCACCAGGTCCGGAACTCGAACTGCGGTTGACTACATGGGAGTCCAGCAACAGCCATTATGCCAACTGCTGGTTCCCTCCCTCAGTTGAGTTTTAAGGGGTCATTCTCTGCTTTTCTTTTAAGTGAAAAAGACACAAACTGAAAAACAATTAGAATACTGTGTGTGGGGCCAGCAGGTGGCATGGTGAAGGCTCTCAATTCCCCACACAGCCAAGAGCAGTTCAGGGTCCAGGACCTAGCGGTTTGCTTTCTCACTTTGTCTCTCTCTCTCTCTCTCTGGCTGGTGAGTGTGTGCGCCCTAATTCAAATTTTAAAATAATAACACTAAATAAAATTAAGTAAACAATAAAAATATTAAGAATACTATATCTGGAAGGGAGAAATGGAGATTGTGAAGTGATCTCATCCTATTGCAGGGTGCTTGTTTGCTCTCTCTGTCTCTCCTGCAAGCACACTCCTCCGTTGCTGGACTCCCATGTAGTTGACCATGGTTTGAATCCTGGACTTGGTGGCTTGAAACCACATCAGACCCATGTGTGTACATGCCCAAGATCCTGAGAGGAGAATGGAGGACAAGGGATTGCGATGTGGCCATCCCCCTTGGGGATGATTTCTTGCTTTGTCTCTCTGTCTCTCTCTGCCTGTCTGGCGAGCACATGTGCCCTGTATCAAAAATCTCCTCCCAAAATAATTAATTAATTAAACATAAAGAAAGAAAATCTGTTGGAGATGTGGAAACAGAAAATTTATGGCCCAAAGCTTCTAGACGTCTGATTTTGTACTCACTCATAAATGAAGAGAATTATTAGACACATATATGTGTCCCTCCTATCAGAGGGGAATGCATGCTAGAGCCTCACTTGAAAACAAGCCTAAATTGGAGATGAGCAGTTAGCATAGTGGCTATGTCGCTGGACTCCCATGTAGTTAACTGTGGTTCAAGTCCCAGACCTGGTGGCTTAAACTCACGCTGGGTGTGTGTGCGTGCAAGTGCCCAAGATCCCGAGGAGAAGGGATTGTGGTGTGGTCATCCCCTCTGGGAGGCGATTTCTTGCTTTCTGTCTCTGTCTCTGTCTTTCTGGGGAGCACATGCATTCCATAGGAAAAACCTCTCAAAAAAAAGAAAAGTAAACAAGCCTAATCAAGGCTCCTCCCCAGATAAAAACCTCTCGCCCCACTTCCTCCTCAGCAACCCATTTTCCAGCATCCCTCCCTTCTTGGGAGCTCTTCTTCCTCTTTCTCTCCCCCAAAAGCCCCCCTGCCTACCTATACCCTCTCTGCGTCCATGTCTCTAATTTTTCCTAAACGTGAGACGACACACGTCCTGCTGTGAGTCCTGGGCCGGATCACCCCTGCACACCTGCATCCCTACGTTCGAAGCACAGGTGGCGTGTGGGAATTGCTGAGAGACCTAGAAATTTAGGGATTTATTGCAGCTCCAGGCAGAGCCAGGCAGAGCCGGGCATAGGGGACAAAGACGTGGGCTTGAGGCCCTGCTTCCCCCACACTAGGAAAACTATCCTTGGGGAGAAAGGAGGGACTGGGGACCCCCACAGATGACAGACCCTCTGAGCACGAGCCCCACAGATCAAGTCAAGACGCTTCCCCCATGACCCTCCTGTACTCCCCGCACCACCTGGGGAGACGCAGGACTGCCCAGAAGGGGCGCTGGGTCCCACGCAGGTCGCCGCGCAGGGACGGAACGGGATGCACGAGGGGACTGAGAGCTCAGCAGTGCCAGCGTCAGACTCGCTGCCGCAAACTCTGGACGTCACGGAAGGGGGCGTTTTCCGGTCTGTTCCAATGGCCCCGCCTGCCCGGAGTGCATTATTTCCCGGGATCAGGGGTGTGCCAACATCCTCCCGGGGCTCCCGATGCTGTGCAGGTCCCCGCGCGACCTGCACTGGAAGCCACTCAGAATAACACGGACACTAAACCCTACCCCGGGCGCCAGACTTAAAAAAAAAAAATCACAAAATGTCCCCGCCTCCCGCTCAGATGCCCACCTGATTGGACAGATCACAAGACCCGCCCATTAGCTCTGATTGGACACATGTGGAGGCTCCGCCCCTCCCGCAGTTTAACTGACAGCAGAGGAGGGGGCGTGAGGACTGGGACTTGAATGCCAGATTCTTGGGCGCAGGCCACCACCACTTAGGCTGCATTCCCACTGCTGGGACTGGCTCCAGCGGCTAGAAAATCATGCCAGGCGCATGGGCATGCATGCCACAAATCCCGACAGGATGGAGAAATGGAGGAGGAAGGATTGCAGTGGGACCGCGCCCAGTGGGGGATGCTTTCTCCCTTCTTTTCTCTGCCGAGTGCTTGCGCCTTCTTGCAATTAAGGGGGAAAAAAAGCGTCTTGGCTCTAGGACCTGGTGGTTAAGGCAGTGAGATTCCATGCAGCTGACCTCACAGTTGGAGTCCCAGCGACTTGAAAACCACCACGCTGTGTGTGTGTGTGTGTGTGTGTGTGTGTGCCCCAGATCCTGAAAGGAGGGATAAATGGAGGAGAGGGGATTGCACTGAGACTGTTTTCCATAGGCATATTTTTTGTCTTCTCCCTCTCTGGTGCTCTGTCTCCCTCTTAGCAAGCACTTGGGTACTCTGGCCCAGAAAAAGAGAAAAAAAAGAAGAGGAAAGAAAAAAGTAAAGAGAAGAAACCGGGGCTGGTGAGTGGCGTGGTGGTTAAGGCGCTGGACTCTGACATGGCTGCCCACAGTTCAAGTCTTGGCCACAAAGTAATTCCTTCTCATCCATTCTCCCGTGGGGATTTTGGGTACTCACACACACACACTCCCATAGTGCTTTTCAGGCCACTGGGTTAGATTTCTTACTGTGCAGTCGGCCATGTGCGATCCAGGTGACCTTCACTACGCGACTGGCTGGCCCTCTGACTTTTATACAGAAGTAAAGGGAACACTGTTCAATTTGGTTTTATCGATATTCTTCTTTTTTTTGGAGAGGTTTTTTTTTGCTATAGGGCACATGCGCTCACCAGACAGAGACATAGAGACAGAAAGCAAGAAATCACCCCCCAGGGGGGATGGCCAC